ACAATCGACCACTTAGCCGAACTAATAAGCCCCACAACAATTGCTGCCTATTGTGGTTGTTGTTGCTGTTGTTGTTGTTGTTGCTGTTTGGCATTTGCAGTTGCAGCGCTTTAATGACAAAACATGAGCTCGAGAAGGCATTGTGCACTGGCTGTGCCACACGTAAGTCCTCTCTCTCTCGCACTCCTTCTCTCCATATGTCTCTTGTCTGCCCCAGCTCCCCGTTGGGACAGAGCGAACGGAGTGTCAGCGTTGTTGCACAGTGAAATCTTTGTGCCTCGCCTGACACTTGGCAGACACGTCGTCCTGGAAATTGGAGTAGGTTTGCATGTCAGCAGCAACAGTAGCGAGTCGGCCCCACCCACCAGCGGCCAGGGCACAGTGCAGTTCCGTTTCAGCTGAAGGCGGCTCGGTTCGCGCTGACTGGGTTCGGTTCGGTTCAGTTCCATTTGACTGCCACTTTTTGTCTGCTTTTCAATTTGCTTGGCTGCAGGTCTGGGCCTGCCGCTTCGAGTTGTGAGATATGCTAACGTCAAGAAGTAGTCCTGGAACGATGAAAACTGTGAGAATCTGACTTGATGTCTTCAGCTTGATTCTGGCCTAAGAGCTGAGCTTACAGTTATACAGCTTTTAACTATATTCACATGCAGTATGATTTATAACAAATTGCTTTAAAAAATTATTGTTCGCTTCGCTCTGCAATTTTTCATAAGGATATCAGGAATTCGTTGTCAGTCCATTCATTATTTATGTTCATGTGGCAATCGCTGTTGCTGTTGTTGCTTTCAGCTGGCGCTCGACAGCTTCAAATCAAACACAGTTTGCCGTTTACTGTCATTGCGTGGCACGCACGCAACAAATGCAGTTGCAAGTTGCGACTTCCTGCAGGCTCTGCTGCTGCCTCGCTGCCTCGCCGCCAGCTGCAAGCGAGTTGAGTCATGTTGCTAATTGTGAATGGGAAGCGAGTGTGTTGTTTGCCGCATAATTGGCCTTGCTTTGGTAAAAATTGAGTCATTAGGCGGTCAGAGGAGCAATCAGCAATCAACAGGCAAGCAACAAGCAGCAAGCAGCAAGCAACAAAGACCCAGCCCCATTAAACGATCAAAGCATCTTTAAGAGTCAATTTTGTGGCTTAACATCCACATATATATATAATATATGTATACATATGCATACATACATGGATATGTACATACACACGTATGTTATGTAGCTCTGAATGATGATCGGGCTTAGCGAAGCGCGTGACTAAGTTGCAAGTTCGGAAGCATTTATCATGACGATGGCCAGCTGCCTCCGCCTCCGCCTCCGCCGTCGCCTCATCATGACATGTGCTATGAATGATGATTAGAGCTGAGCGAAAGTTGGCGGGAGGCGGGTTGGCTTGGGAGGAGTTTCAGTTGTGCCCGAATGCCATTTAATGTTAACAAATTCATTTTTGGCGACAAACGGAAACGGAAACATTGCAGAGCTGAGCTGAGCCAAGGGCTGTAGCTGAGAGTAGATACCATGGCATTCATCCATTCACTGTTGCGTCGCCCTTTGGCCATGGCGAATGTCCATCAGTCAAGCGGTAGGCAGGCCTTGCGAACCCTCCCCGCCAGTTCCACTTCGGACAGCCTGCATCCTGTGCTGGCTGCGCTGGCTGTCCTGACCTGTCCAGACTGTCCTGCCACTGATAAACGCACGTCACACGTCAGCTCTGGGTAGTCCGAGTCCTTTTTGCCTTTGTGGATTGATGGCTGGACAGATTGAACATAGCACGTTGTTGCTGTTGTTGTTGTTGCCTGGCTCTGATGGACGTTTAATATGCGTTTTAGACAAGGATATACCTCACAGCTCGAGTGTGCTTGTGTGTATGGGTGTGTTGGAGAAGTGCAATGCCTGCCTGCCTGGCTGACTGGCTGCCTGTATGCCTCGTTGCATGGCCTTCAGCACCGATGCCGCCCGCCATTGCCCAGCCAGTGCGTGGCTCGTTTTGCAACGCCTGTAAATGTATTTGGGCACCGAATTCGTCATGGCCAGAGATGTTGGTCAGCTGCAACAACAGCAACAACAACAGCAACATCCACTCTATAGCATTGTTTTGTATTAAATGCTATCATGCTGCCGTGTCCAGGCCACATCCAACGTTGAACGTTGAGCGTTCCATCGTTCCATCGGCTCGTTGTTCATAGTTTGTGTGTTAATGTCCCAGCCCCAGCCCCCAGCACACAGCCACAGTTGCTCGTTTCTTGAGGCTAGTCGTAGGTGTGAATGCGCGCACATGTGTCGAACAAAGGCGCAGTCAACCCCAACCCACCTGCCTGCCCGTTCAACCCCTTGCTCTGTCCCACAGCCCCTCAGCTGCCCACGCACACGAGCAGCAACATCGACCATTTCAAGTGTGGAGCCGCTTAAGGTTCTCTGCGCAGTTCGAGTGTGTGTGGTGAATCGTAGTTGGAGCTGGGGCTCTGCTCGCAAACAACAGACACGCATGTGCATGTCCACAACATTAATAATGTTGCCCCGATATTAGCCACGCATATTAACTTTCCCATGTATCGGTGTGTGTTTCGAGACGCCTATTGTTGTTATGGCTGTGCCCTGCGTGCGTGTGTGTGTGTGTGTGTGTGTGTGTGTGTTTATGTTTAAGGTAACGATTTAAGATGTAATGTGCACAGTTCCTAATTGCTGCTGCTTTATGCTATTGCCAGACTAAATATGAAATCACATGAAATGTATCTTTAAGATACAAATACACAGAACCACATTTAAAAGATACAAAAGTATCTGATTGCTTGTAAAAGCAGTTGTATTTAAGTTTTCACACACAATTCTAGCTGTATGAACTAGCTGAAATAATATCATGTTTAAAGATACAAATGCATCTGAGGGCAAGTAAATGCAGTTGTAAAGATACAAAATTATCTGAGAGGCTTCAACTGAACTTCTAGCTAATCTCAATTAAAATATACAAAAGTATCTGAACGTGTTTCAATGAATGAACTACCTAAAATACAATCAGATACGAAAGCATCTGAGAAAGTATTAGAAATAACTTTATATGAAATAAACTTAATTAAGAGATATTTATTCATCAGTTAAATGAGCTTGAAATGCCTGACATAATATAATGAAAGTATCTTTAAGTTGCAGATACTTTTATATCTACTGACCGCATATGGAATGTAACAAGAAGTAGAGCTTTGATGCTAAATGTCGAAGACTTATCAATGAAATTGTGGAATCCTTAAGGAAGCTGAAAGCAATGAAAACAAAGTTTGTTTTTGGTTTCATAAAAGACGGCAAATATTTTTACATAATTTTTTATTTTCATATTTTTTTCTTTTCATCAAAGTTTTCTTTTTATCGTTTGTTGTGGTTTTTCTGCTGTTACCTTTTGTTTTGTTAACAATTCTGTTTTGTTTATTTATTATTGATTTGCTTGGCTTCTCCAACTATCATCTAAAAGATTTTCCACGATAAATATACGGATGTCCTTATGCTTCTTCTAGTGGTTGTTGTAGCTCTGGTTGTTGTTGCTGTTTTTGTTGTTGTGTTTGCATCAATTAATAAACTTACGCATTAAGCTAACACTAAATACTTTTTACAATAATAATAATAATAATAATAATTATATCAATAATAAGTGTAATAGGGTGATGCGGCCACAGACCCAGCTTCAGTTCCCGGGGCCAATCCATAATAATATCAATTGAAAACTCATATCGTTAGCTGGTTTCATTTTATGTTTTCTATATATATATATAATTTTGTTTTTTCTTTTCGTTTTTATAGAGATATATAGAAATTTATATTTGTTTTATAGCTGTTCTTGCATCTGCTCTCGTCTTTTCCTTAGATTTTGCATTTTTCTTTTTGTTTTTTTTTTTTTTAATTTCTTCTTTTATTTTGTTTTATATATATATATATATATATATATATATATATATATATATATATATATATATATATATATATATATATATATATATATATAGATATATATGTTTATATATATATTTTTTTTTGCTAGTTTTACATTTTGATATTACATTTAATTAGCTTTTTCAAATATTGTGTTTTATATATTTTTTATTTATCATTCATAGATTTGTTTATAATAAATTATGTTGCTTAATAGCTAGGACCACAAAAAAAAAAAAAAAATAGTTTGCTATGTGCGCTGTTTTATATAGCTATACATACATTATATATATATGCATACGCCTTTCTTTTATATATATATATATATATATATATATATATATATATATATATTTCTTTTCATATATTCTGTATAAACATACTTATATATATATATATATATATATATATATATATATGCTGTATATATATATATATATACATATACATATACATATGTATGGAAAGATATATATGTGTGTGTGTATACATGAACTTAGTGGCTAGAAAACTACACAAGTACATGCCTAGTTACGTTTATGTTGTTAGACAACGATTATAAAATATGTTTATTTATATATTTATATGTAATTTAAAAAAATTGAAAAAAAAACTTTTGACAAACAAGTTTGCTTTTAATTATAAAAAATGTGCTAATATACAAAAAAAAATTATATTTTGTTTGTTTAGCGATTTTTTTATTTTTTTTTATTTTTGTTTTGTTTTGTTTTGTTTGTATTTTCTTTTTGCTTGCTAACACGATTTTTAGGCTACGTATTTGTGATTTTGTTTTTAATGTTTTTTGTTTTATTTGCATTTTATTTTTTTACACACATACACATAAATAGTTTATTACAGACAAGACGTTTAGTTAATGTTTTTACTCTTTAAGTTTTACATTTTTAGCTTTTTTTTTCCTTGCATTAGTTAGATTAATAAAAAAAAACATCTATATATATTTATATATATATATATTTATTTATATATATATAGCTTTATGTGCAGCGCCCATTTCAATGTACATTTAGAGATTTTGTTTTGTTTTTGCTTTGTTTTCGCTATGAATTTTTAAAAATAATTTACAAATATTTTGGCGCAGTCATAAAAAAAGAGACTAAAACAATAAACAGAATAATAATAAAAACAAGAAAACCAAAGCTGAGCAGCTGTTTTTGGCCAAAGGCAGCGCATTTTGGTTTATGGGTTATAGGCGTTGCGGCGGAGGTGCGGGGCAGGGCCAGCCAACCGACGACGAGACTTCTCCTCATTTGAATTGCGAGAGAGCGAGCGCACAATGCAACAGCTCTCTCGCTCTAATACGACGTGCGCTGCTTACGAGTCGCTAGTGGGTCGAAGCGAGATGGCAATAGTGTACGCGCAGTGGGCGGCGGCAGAGACGATAACGACAGCGACAACGACGATGACGACGACGACGAGGATGACGTCGACGAAGCGACGAAGCTTTGTCATTGCTGCTGCTGTTGCTGTTGTTGTTGCTGTTGTTTTGGCTCTTACTGCTACTCCTCTTCGTATTGTTGCTGTTGTTCTTGTTGTTGGTGGTGCTGCTGCTGCTGCCGCTGCGTGTAGGTCTTGAGAAACAGCAGGCGCTTTGCCAACTGTTTTGTATATTACCAAACAAGCCCTTCATTTTGCATATTCTGCGGTTCGCTGAAGTTCGCCGAGCTCATGAACTCTGGAGATGCGGTGCGCGGGCCATTTTGTTGTTGCTGCTGTTGCGTTTGGCTTGCTTGTTGCGCATTCTGAGCCGCCTGCTGCTGCTGTTGCTGCTGCGCGGCCGCCTGTTGCAGCAAGTGCTCGGCGGCATTTGGCGGTGGCGGCGGCGGTGGCCCCACAGCCGTTTGCAGCTGCATTGGCGGTGCGCCCGCCTGACTCAGAAATGTTGACTCGGGCGTCAGACCAAATTCGTTCACCATCGGTATGGGTCCGCTGTGATCCATTGGTCCACCTGTTCGGTTTCAGAGAGAGAGAGAGGGAGAGACGGAGAGAGAGATAGATATTTGAGTTAGTCTGGCAGTTTAGATGTTATGTATCCTCGATTCTGACTTAATGTCATTCTAGATATCCATGAATTAGAGCTGATAAATTACTGCTAGGAAATAACTAAAATAGGTTTGTCTATTTACTATGGGTTATATAATAATATCATTTGCAATTTCTATTTGAAAAATATTCTATTCTAATTGTTCTCTAATCAAAGTTATAATTAAAATTTTTGTATTTTTGAAAATTTGCTTGGAATACAGCGGATAAAGGGAGCCAAACTAAATGGAAAACAATAAATATTTATCTAGAGAATGAAACTCTATTTAAAATGGATTCCTCATAAGATAAACAATTTAATTTATATGGCTTCAGGTCATATTCATCTTAAGACAAGGGAGAATTTTGTGTGAACTGTTTGAAAAACTAATTTCTGCAGTTATGATTTATTGGATCTGGAACTCAAGCTGTATAGATAATATTGTGAAGAGTATTTCTAGATATTGTTATATTACCTGGCGCATTGAAGGGCATCGGTCCGCCGGGATGGCCGGGAAAGAATGGGCCATCGTGCGGATGGAAGGGCCCACCGTAGCCGAACTCGAATTTAGCATCTGCAGCAAAGTAGGGAAAGCCGGGTCCATCGTCTAGCCCGCCCGGCGAGAGATTCATGGGAAAGCCGCGCATCTTGCGCGCGCCGCCAAAGAACGGCGGACGGCCCATGCTGGTGATTTGCTTCATGCGACGCTCCTTGGATCGCTTGTTCTGGAACCAGACCTGCGGATAGATAAGCGGAGAGTGAGCAACATTCAGTGTTGTGTGTTGTATGTTGTATGTTGTATGTTGTATGCTGTATGGCCAGTGTGTCAGTTTGTCGGGCTGTCCCCTCAGCCCCTCTCCAACTGTTTTGTTGCTGCATTGATGCTACCGCCAACCACACCGGGCGGCCGTTGCAAAATTAGCCCTAGCCCCAGTTCCAGTTCCAGTCCTACTCCCAGTCCCAGTCTCAGTCCCAGTCTCAGCCCCAGTCCCAGCCCCGCTCTGTGCAGCGGATCGTGTTTGCGGAGCCGGGCCAGGCATTTTACGAGGTTCTGCATCGTTTCGGGTGCTCCAGAAGCACCGTGCACAGCATGCAAAGTAATAAAATAAAAACATATTTCAAAATTTTTAGTGGCACCTTTTCGCATTTCGCTTTTCGCCTTTCGCCCGGGCCGCGCTTTGTCTCCCTTTTTTTATTTTTTGTTTTTTTTTTTTTTTTTGGTTTTCGGTTCATATTTTTTAATATTTTGAGTTGTTGTTGTTGTTTTTTTGGCATTTTAATATTCATATCTTGGACGCGCATTTTAATGATCTTCTGCTGGCGGTCAACGAAACTGTTTTCAACTTGGACTTGAACTGATTTCTGTATCTTGTTGTTGTTGTTTTGTATTTTGGCTATGGCAAAGTTTTCTCAATGAAATGATTTGATTTATGTGTTTGGTTTTTGTGCTTTTCTTCTCTTTTCAGCTTGCCGTACTCTGTGTGTCCTTTCTGTCGGTCCGGCTGTTTGTCTTTATTTTTTGGCAAATAGTTTCCAATGAATTTGGCTTAGATTCTGCGGATTCTGCGTCTGGGGGCCTGGGCTATGCAGCAGCAGCAGCAGCAGCAGCACCAGCAGCTGTTCCCGTTCCCGTTCTTAGAGGCAATTTAAGCGTGAATTTTAATGATGAGCGCCGCCGCCGCCGCCGCCGACGTCGTCGTCGTCGTCGTCGTCTGCAGTTCATTTGAATTTCAGAGCATTTTTATGAACTCAACTCGGCCGAAACCTACGCCAGTCTCCGCCACAGCATAGACATGCATATGAGCTGGGGTGCTCTGTCCCTGTCCCTGGCCCTGCCCCTACCCCTGTCCCTACCCCACACACACTCTCCACAAGAAACTGACATTTTGTGGCACAACGAGCACACATTTCGCTAGAAAAGCCTTTCGGCCTGTGAGAACTCCAATTTGAGCATCGAGTGCGGCTGTCGGCGCACAGGATGCACACAAAAGGAAGTAACACGCTGTGCATGGCCCGACACCCAGCTTGGCCACAAGCTCACATCAGCATTTGACATTAAGTCCGAGTCCGTGTCGAGCAGTTGGTCAAGCGTGTGACTCTCTTGACAGCAATTCTGAACTCGGATTTGAATCTGTCTCTGAATCCGAATCTGACTTTGACTGTCGAGTGAGCATTAGCAACTTTCTTGGTTTCGTGCTAATTTTTTTCTGCCTAGGCTGGATTCGAATCAACTGGTTCAATTCGCTGTGCTGAGCATGCGATGAACTTGAGCTAGTTCTACTAACTTTGGTAAGTTGATAACATCAACTTGATGAGTAATTGTGCTAAACACGAACAGGAACTGGTTCCATTTTCGTTGATGAACTGGAACTAGTTCAGTTGGCTTGCTAAGCAGATAAAAAAGTGAATTACATATATATGTAAAAGCTTTAATTCCGACACTAGTTCCATTTGCTATGCTGACCACAAGATGAACTGGAACTTGTTCAGTTAGTTCACTTCAGATAGCTAGATAGCTAAGATAGCAACCTAAGTTCTTTTGCGAATCACTCACAAGAACTGGTTCCATTTTCGTTGATGAACTGGAACTAGTTCATTACAGGTTTTGATTGCATTTACTAGACGTCACATTTCAATTACTTGGAAACCGCAAGATAATAAATAAAACCGCATAGATGCAGACCCTACTCCCGCATCGGCCATTGCCCAAGGCAAGGTGCGCACACACACAAGCGCACGCACACACACACACGCACACGTATGTCAATGCTGGTGTGTTTGTTAACTTTATTTTAGCTATTTGCCCCTTTTGGTCCCTGCGGTCACACAATTTTTCATTTTCATATGCGCAACAACAGAGAAAATAAAGGAAAACAAAATCGAGCGAAAAACAAACTGGAAAATGGTTAGCGAAGAGGGAGTGGCGGGGCCAGAGGACAAACAGAAGCAACAACTCTTTTCTAAAATATGCATTTACAATAGTTTGTTATTTGGTATTTGTTTCCGTTTCCATTTCCATTTCCATTTCCATTCTTTTTGCTTTTGCTATACAGCTGAAGTTTTAGTATTTTCTGTTTTCTTTTTGTTTTCTCTCACTTTTTTCGCCATTGTTTTGCTGCTCGACAAAGAAAAACAGCAACAAATGGTAAAGAAAACGGGAAAAAAGACCAAATAAAATGCGAATAATGGCAATTGCATGTGGGCGTTTAGAGAGGAAAGTGGCTGGGGCAGTGGGCGGGGCGCATTGGGTGCATTGAGTGCGGTTAACAGTCAGAGCCAGAGCCAAAGCCAGAGCCAAATCCATTATGGACAGCGCATACAAATATGTTTATCCACTATTGAAGTTGCATGGAAATTGAATGGCGTTGAGAATGGATGCAGCTCGTTGTACTCGGTGCAAAGTGAAAATGGGAAGGCGGGCTTTAATGGTTTTGTAAGGGACAGAAGGAGGCGTGGCAAACCAAGTAAACTTCATATATTCTGGATCAAGATGAAGATTGACGAAAAGATCTAGATCGACTAGATCTTTTTGTCTATCCGTCTGTTTGTCTCTTCGTCTGTCCGTTCGGTCGTTCATCCGTTCGTTCGTCCTTATGTCGACTTCAGATCTAGCGCTAGGTCTAGAGACCTGTTACCAGAAAAGAGTAACGAGTTCGAATGCCTTACATGACAACAACTTTATATGGCTTATTGCAGCTAAAGCTATTCTGCTCTGAGTGTCTTAGCTCAATGTTCAGTTGCAATTTGCCTACGACTTGGGTATTCACAAAATGCTAAGTCTAACTAAAGATGCTTCCAACTTGTTGCTCTGTTTATCCCTCAGCGTATTCCATAATTCATTTCCTATAAATACTCATGCATGTGAAATACATGTGAAATATGTTCCCTAAAAACCCATTTGCAAATTGCGCTCTTTATGCCTCCCGCTCTCTGTCTGTCAGTCTGTGTGAGTGAGATCGAACTTTAATTTTGGTTCTGGCTATTGATCCTGACGTTCGACTTGTGCCGCACAAGAGCTTTTGAGTTATGTTGTGTTCCGATATGTTATGATATAATACGTTATAATGCGCTGCCTGCCAAATTGTTGGCTGTTGTGCGGTAATTTGGGCAGCGCTTATAATATTTTATTTCCGCACTTGAGAGCGGCAATTGGGGAAGTTGGGAGTTCGGGATGTCGGGAGCAAGGCGCAACAAGAGATGAGAAATTTGTTTTCAATTTCGTGTAGCTTTCAACAAATTTGTTGTTTGAGGCGCAGGCGGCGGCAAGAGCTGGGGCGGGGTGCGTCGGGGCGGCACTGCTCGCAAAACATTTGAACATTTAGTTAAATTATAGGTTAGGCCCTGACATAAAAGGGCAAACAACGTAGCATAATGGCCGTGGTAGCAATCAGGCTCAGAGCCTGAGCCCGCGCCCCTCGCCAAGCGAAACATAACAAAATGATTATTGCGCTTTTGACTCGGAGGAGGGGTAGGTGGCAAGTTGGAGGGCAAGTGGATAAGGCGGCCCTGTTGGCTGTTGGCTGTTGGCTGGCGGCTGCCACTTGGCAGCTCCTCGGCTCGGCGTTGTGTTGAAAATTATAGCAAATTATGTTAAACGGCAGCTCCTCGGCGCGGGTGGGGCTCGGGTTCGCCCCAATCGCCCCGTTTTGGCCGCCGTTTACCCCCGTGCTTGCCCCGTTTTGTGGCCCATTAAAGAGCTTAACATATAATTTGGGCAACCGCTCAGTCAAAAGTCAAAGTTGCTTCATTGTGACCCGATTGGGTTTTGGGTTCAGCTTCAGATTCGGTTTCGGTTTCGGTTTCGATTTCAGTGCCTGCCACATTTGGGGGCATGCTGCAAATGTGTGTCACGTATTCGCGCGCTGATTGACATGATTTGGCTGCGGCTCCATTCGTAATGCGATATATGAGCATGCGGCAGTCGGCATTCGAGGACTTGTGGATGCGAGCATTTAGATTAAGATGCTCATCAGCATTAACCCCTTGTTGCCAGCTTTGGGCAGGCGCATTGGTTGAGCAGATCATTGCTTAAGGCTCACTACACCTATGAACTCTGGACTTCTTACTCTGGATTTCCTCTCTAGTCAGCTCTGCGGCTCAGCTAATGATACGTTTCGCTGTACAACGCTGCACTTGTGTTTCATTAGCTGATTTTTTGGACTATTGTTGGCCTGGCTCGAACCTGCTGAGAGGCCATGACTGGGCATTTATCGTAGCGCCTGTCACGCCCCCATCGTGGCAGTACATAAGCTACCAGCTAAGCAAAAAACTATCGACTACCGACTACAGCAGCTGCCCGATATATATATATATATATATAGACTTGTAGATACAGGCGTGAATTGGCTGCGAGTAAGAGTTAACAGATAATTAACTTTGGCTGCTGCTGCTGCTGCTGGCCATTGGTAGCTGTTGTTTTTCCCATAGTTTAGTAGGTGTTGCTGCCGCTCATCAGTCAGCCTCGAGTCGAGGTAGCTGCTGAACGGCTGAGCGGCTCCTCGAGCTGCGTGACAAGGCAATTTTCGCTTAACCCTAGATGAAATGGTCTCAAATGTTGGTTTCGATTTCAATGTGTATTTCAACTAGCATTTCTCTCCCTCTCTGTCTCCCTCTCTCTCTCTCTCTCTTTCTTGTTCATTTGTCGTTTGCCTGGCGCCTCGTCGCAACTTCCCTACGAGAATTAATAGCCAGCTGATGAGTTGTTGAAATTATAATTTTCAGATTCGCTGCTCGACCC